GACCAACGGGCTCTTTATTACAAAACTCCTACTTGTTTCAATGTCCTAAACACAGCGTCATTCGAACAGCAGACAGTAATGCGAAAAAAAGATTTTTTGTTGCCGTCAACATCGCGACCTGGTGCCTGGGTGCCTATTCAAAAAAGAAAGCTTTTACTATAGTTTATTGTATATAAACATTTATTATTGAGAAAAGCCCCTATAAATTACCTGAAAAACCGTTGTAAAACAAAATTTTTTATCTTTACCAATGGGATTAAGTTGCTTTACCAGAACGCCGGTCTAGGTTTCTTAACCACAAACTAAACCAACCAGACGGAAATCATGCGACTGCTAAGTGAATAGAAATCCCCTTTTGGAATCAACATAAAAATATAACTTTTATTTCTGATTGATTCAATTTTTTAAAATAATATTTTTTTATCTTGGATCCAAAGAATGAGAACTTTTTTGTACGCAAACAAAAACAAAATTCTCCATGTCTTCAGAAGTTCTCTACTAATACCATTCCGCCTAAATAATTTCAGGGCTACTCGATTTGACGGATTATGATGCTGTACAGGGACTAAACAGTAGAAAATATTGAGGAACACAATTGATGAAGTCACAAACAAAAAAACAAGGAAAACACGGAGTACAATAAGGGGCGGACGTTATATCATAGCACGAAACTTACGAAGTAGAGTTAATACATAGGGTAGTTGAAAGCCAATAGAAATAATCAGATAAAAAGCGGAGAGTATATAAAATTAAACCTTGAGACCAATTCAAGTATTCAAGTTTACTGCTAATACCAAGTTTTAAACTCATATGTCGCAACCACGACAAATCGACGGCCAATGATATAAATGAGGTATGTGTGTACCGAGATTTGTCTAGGGACGAGATGTTTATTGTCATATGATTACATGAAATGCTTAATATTGACGGAGATGTTTTCAGAGCTGAGGGCGCGACAGAGAGGGATAAGACCTAAGAGGCGGAGGCGCGGCAAGCGTAGCGAGGGAAGGTTGCATGGCGAACGACGAAGATCCTAAAAGAGGAAAACAAAAGAAAACGGCTCCAACGTTTTAGATTTAACATATGAAGGAACTGTTTTTATAAGTGTTTTTTGTATTAGACAGTTCGGAATTAACCGCTTCACTAGTTCGATTAGTATATAAGCTGTGCTGAAAAGTACCCAGAAAAAGAAAGTCTCTCTCTTTTTGCGAAAAAAAGTTTTTTTTTTATTTTTTTGGTTTCTCAACATCCTGCACCTTCCTAAAAAAATGTACCTACTCAAAAAAGCAATATTTTGTTTTTACTATAGTTTATTGGTATCACATATAATTGAAGAAAAATGCCTCTATAAATTACCTGAATAACCGCGTAAAACAAAATTTGTTATCTTACAATGGGATTAAGTGCATTTACCAGAACGCCGGTTAGGTTTTTAACCACAAACTAAACCACAGACGGAATCATGGACTGCTAAGTGAATAGAAATCCCCTTTTTGGAATGCAACATAAAAAATATAATTTTATTTCTGATTGATTCAATTTTTTTAAATAATATTTTTTACTCTTGATCCCAAGAATGAGAACTTTTTGTACGCAAACAAATCAAAATTCGTCCATGTCTTCAGAAGTTCTCTACTAATACCATTCGCTAATAATTTCAGGGCTACTCGATTTGACGGATTATGATGCTGTACAGGGACTAAACAGTAGAAAATATTTTGGAACACAAATTTGATGAGTCACAAACAAAAAACAAGGAAAACACAGTACTTAAGCGACGTTTACTTCTACACGAACTTAAAAAAATATTATCAATGTTTTTACATTCTTAAACAATTACATTTTTTTCGAGTTCTGTCCAGTTACGACGTAAAATTTAGTTTCATGGTCGAAACCACTTCAAGATGTTACACCTTAAGCGACGTTTACTGAGGCACAAGTTCGCTGTTGGGTAGAATGATCTTTCTCATGCTTTGGATCCTGCCATCAATTGAGTACAGATTTTGAGAAGGTAGATTTCATAGGTAGTTGAAAGCAATAGAAATATCAGATTAAAAAAAAGCGGATATGAAAATGTTATTGAACCTTAAGTTTTAGTTTATCTAATATCAGTTTTAATCGTCATATGTCAAACCACGACAAATGATGGGCCATTGATTAAATGTATGTGTAGAATTTGTCTAGGTAACAGATGTTTATTTATTATTACATGCATTTGTTTTAAATATTACGAGATTTTTCAGAGAGCGTAGTTATACCTAAGGTCAGCGCCAATGCTACAGGGAAGTCTTGCGAAGTGCCTAAAAGAGGAAAAAAACGGGCTCCAACTTTTAGATTTAACATATGAAGGATGTTTTTTTATAACTGTTGTTTTGTATAGACAGTTCGGAATTATCGGTTCACTAGTGTCGGTTATTATATTGCTAATGCAGAAAAAGAATATGTTAATCTTTGAATACATAGGTATCTGATCCATCTTTGTTGCCGCGGCAACTGTCTTGAGCACTCTGCAAAACTGAAGTGTTGAAAATCTTTGTAATAAAATATAAATTACTTTATTCTATGACGACTCACATGTCTTAGAATTTGAATTTCTAATGTTAGAATAGAATATGAAATTAAATTTGTTGAATTTAATTGAAAATTAATTTTATTTAAAAGCCCGTTTCGCGATTGAAATGTATTTCATGTATGTAACGTTTCACCTCGTTATCCCATTTATAACGTAGGTCTTATAATTTAATTAATGTATTAATTATATCAAGGAACACTTGATAATCGCTGTCAATAAGGTTAATACAAATAGGAAACAAAAAAATAAATATTCAAATTTTCTTAAAAGGTGAATTTCACTATAAAATATATTCAAGATAAGAGATGTAAGTCGGGAAATTTGCAACTCATGGTTTTCAAATAATTCATAATCTGAAGTTAAATATGTTATTCATTCAGTGTTTACACGATCACCTCAGTACAAATTTACAGATGACCTTGATCGTAAGTATCTACTTTAATATCGACAAATTTTATGTAATATCAATACAAATGACAGCTAATATATATAAGTGTACATAATTCAGTATTAAAAACACCAGAAGGAATGCACATCATGCAAAACTTCAGCCGTCACAATTACGAAAATCATTAACCGTTTTATTATTATTATTATTATTATTATTATTATTATTATTATTATTAGCGGCGAGGCCCAGGCCGTAGAACGTGCTCTTCCGCGTTACCACCAGGTTGAAGTACAAGTAGTTGTACTATACTTACACCACAAGATAAAAGCAGTTACACAATACTTGTAGCACATATATGCAGAGTTGGAGAAAACGTACATGTATTAAGACAAAAAGAACCACACGATTCCATGTATACAAGAGATGCAGGTCCATTTAACATGAAAGCACAATATGTATAATCAGAGGTGACAAAAACTGAAAGATTTTTATTACTTCTCTATCTCAGCAACATGCCTTATCGAATAATACAATATTACCATGAATTACCTTGATTTCAGATATTCGAATTCACAATTATCAGTCGTACCGTGATTAGCGCAGTAAGTACCTTGAGCCCTCTACAAAAACTCTCTTAGGGGAAGGGTCAACAGCATTTACGACTGCAAGTTCAAAACAAGACGAACCCGTTATATGCCTTAAGCGATTGAGTATCGGTCATACGCCAAAAGCAATGCCGAAAAACGTCAATCGTTCAATCTAGAGGGAATCCCACTAGTCACTATTACAAGAGGGCTCATAGACTGCTGATAACAGCGACGTAGAACAGACGGCGGCGAAGCCATTTCGCCAGCTCGTTTCATTGTCCTCTTCGGTCTGCGTTCAATTAGTGGCTCTCGGCCTCAAACACGGGAGTTGCAGCGTTGTAATCCCCACGCGAGGGTCAAGAGAAGAAGGGGCGCCCTACTGCAACGATGGATTAAATATAGCGTGGCATTCCCGCTGCTTGCTTTGTGCACGTCTGATTGAGTTACCTTCGGAGGGGAGACGGACGGAGGATCGGGAGTTGTCAAGGATACATCTCCTTCAGCAATATGCGTCTCCACGGTTGGCCCGAATCCAAATCAAAGGTTCCATACAATCGCAAATGGAATTTATTTCTATTTGCTCATTCGAACTCTACATGTCGTATACAAACATGATTCTTTCAAAACATAATAAAATCATTCAAATTGCGACAAAAAGAGAAGATGTCGGTTAATTATAAAATCTACGCAAGATTGCAACCTGCTTGCTAGGAAGCAGATCTAGAGTAATGTGGTTGTCACTAGAATACTTTGCTCAAAATATGGGTTCTTGGGCCCTTTTTGCAAAAGATGATTTGCACTTCCCAGTTTAGCGACGTAAAAGTGTAGACAAGATATACATTATTTTGCGACACGAATTGTAGTGCCTGCGTATTTTGCTTCCCACATCCATGTGATATATATTTCGTAGTGCGATGTACGTATTTAATTTTTTTTTACTTATTTTGTTATCACTTTGTGAACAAAATGCACGGCATCATCTGGTGGTGTGAAAGTCACAATGTTTTTCTCCAGAATCCGAGTAATAATGTGGGATTTGTTTGTTGCATCATCACTGTTTGCTTTATAGCGCACAGATCAACGCTGTCAGTCTACCAAAGAAAGAAACATGAGAGCTTATCGGGCATTTTTATGAATTCTGACTATGCTGGAATCAAGTCTTGAATCTTTATTCCGATGTATAATGTAATGTCCAACATTGTTGAGAAAATTAATAAAGGATAATAATAATAATAATTATTATTATTATTATAATAATAATAATTATTATTATTATTATTATAATTATTATAATTATTATTATTATTATAACAATAATAACAGCAACCCGGTCCACTTGAGGCAGACGTTGCGACAGCCGTCGTCTGTGACGAGGAGGCTGCAGGTTCTAGTCCAGCGTATGGTCATGTTTGCGATTGTCCCTTCACACCTCATCTTCATCATCGTATCACCCCATATGTCATAAAACAAAGTATAACCACCCTGTCTGACTAAGACATAGAGCCAAAAAAAACAGATTCTCTAACTGACACGCGTTAATCTCTCCGGGATAAAGATGACTGGGCCTCGGAAGATAACGTGTAGCGTGGCCATAAATGGTATATAATAATAGACGGTCAAGTGATTAAGTATTTGAGGCGATCGTCACTTCGTACAGCTGCATACCCCCTTGATTCTGCCAAGCCCCGCCACTGATCTTTAACCCGAAAGGAACGATATATGCATGTGTGGGCGTGTCGCAGGTCAGTTCCTGCTGAGCCAGCGGCGCCCGGCCGAGGCCGCCCCGAAGCTGCTGCGCGCGCTGGCGCTGACGCAGCCCGAGCCGCCGCTGTACGAGGACGCCGTCAACGCCGCCACGGCGCTGCGCCTGGCCGGGGACCTCGCCGCCGCCGAGGAGCACTACCGCCTCGCCGTGCGCCTGCGCCCACAGGTCCGTGCCATTGATTCATTGATTGATTGATTGACGAATCGATAGATGGATGATTCCTACCCCGTCGGTCATAAGTCCCGTTTGTGTAGTGAATGTTTTATCCCACGATGTGATGGCGTCCCTTCCTCGCTTTGCCGTGTGCCTGCGAGCGCATGTCAGACGCAGAGATGGATGGATGTTTCTGGGCACATCAATTCTATAGTCTTTAGTCCCATTTGTGTAGTGAATGTTTTATCCCTTTGCCTCGCCGTGCGTCTGCCTGGAGGTCAGATTCTTTGATTGATTTGTTTCGAGCACATCAATGCTACGGACATTAGTCCCGTTAGTTTTGTGAATGTTTCATGCCAGAAGGTGGCAGTGTACCTCAGCCACCTCGCCGTGCGCCCGCTGATCTGACCCATTGACTGATTGCTGATTCTGGATAGTGAAGTTCCCGGATAGTGAATGTTTTATCCCAAAGGATGGCGGGGTTCCTTCTCCGCTGGATAGTCAGATCCGACGCACACCTAGTCGTAGTGGAAGTGATTCTTCAATCTCCCCCACAATAGAGCATCGCCTCACTGAATAACCTAAGAGCTCCCGAATGGTCTTCCGACGTGTTTGGTGTAAGTGGGTTGTGTGCGTATCAGGGGACAGAATAGGACGAGAAAGAGCAAGGAAATATCGCGCGCAACGCACGATCATTGGCCCCTATCAAAAATCGTATTTTTATTGATCATCAGACTCAACGTATGGGTGTGATGCCGTAAATTATTCTGGAGGCGTGGTAGTTACAACATGGGGATGAGGAATCATACCTCTCAGAGTGATGGAAAGGTTAAAAACTGAACAAGGGTGGCTGCGTAGTTTGATGCATAAACGTGGGTGAGCTGATCCACCGCACCGATTTTGCTCGTTCTGCACAGCACCAGATTCGTTACAAAACTCGTGACCACAATACGGGCACAAAAGTTTAAAAAAAACATTTTGAAAGTGGCAATTTTTAACGGGAACTAACGAAAAATAAAACGAAGACGGTATAGTTGAAATAAAATATACATTTTTTTTAAATGCTTCATATTCTTGGTTCAATAACTTGTAACAAGGTGATAATTCTGGTATCTGCATTAAAAATTCCCGCTAATATTGTGGTATTAAACTGGTGGATGAAGCCGGGAGCTTGCGAAATAGCTCACCCATGTCTTTCCATCATGCCTCTTATGTCAGAAAATGTTTGCTTACATTCTTAGTCTATAATATTTTTAATTCAATAGTTATAAAAGTTTGAGTATTCTTTAAGTGTTTTCCACAGCATTACGAATTGGGGAGAGTATTTTCTTGCGCGACAGGGTATCGCCGTGGATGCATAGTTAAAATTTCTTGAGTTTTCTGATCGTATTAATTCCTAAAGACAAACGAGTGGTCCTTCAGAAGAGGAGCGGATTTGTAATTTATTATTATAGTTTTTTTGGTTAATATCAGAAAATAAATAATTATTGTCATTTTTGTATTATCAATGAGATCTTGATTATATTATTCAGGTTTCTTATTAGGCTATTGACCCCCTGATCACAATTGACACCCTTCAAAATTTTGTGGACCCCCGGGGGAGTTTGTACCGACCGCGTTGGGATAGCCAGCTCTAAGCTCTCACGTGACCCGTCCGTTGCAGGAGGCGTCCGGGCTGGCCAACCTGGGCGCGCTGTACCACCTGCGCGGGCGCCTGCAGGAGGCGGAGCACTGTTACGAGCGGGCCCTGCAGCTGCAGCCGGGCGACGCCGTCACGGAGGCGAACCTGCAGCGCCTCCGACGCCTGCAGGCCGCCGCACGCGACGCGCCCGTCGCAAACGACGCTTCCGGGTCAGCACCCGCGCCCGGACCCGCGGTCTCCACCTCCCGCACCGACTGACCCAGACAAACCGGACGGGGGGCACCAGCAAGAGCCTTCTGGCGATGACAACGATCCGAAGAGGTTGAAGGAAGTGCCTCAACGGTGCAAGTTCTAGGCTTCTCCACCTATTCGGAGCTCTTCCCAATATCAGCGATCCGAAACGTTGGCCAAATGCGCAGACTTCTCAATCTGATTCATCCTTCACGCAATTACATCGATGTAAACAGATTAATAGAATTCTTTTAAAGCGCAGACTCGATCTGCTCGAGCTTACTCGCAACCACAGCTACTCGAAAAGATTAACCCCAATTGTTCGGAAATTCAAAGTCTAAGCTTCTATACCAGCTCATCTCCAAATAAATGGAACCCGGAAAGATTCACATAAGCTGTTCGAAAGAGCAAACTTCCAGACATCTAATCTCACGAGCAAACTTCCAGACATCTAATCTCACGAGCAAACTTCTATACATCAATTCTAATGTATTTGCAATGACAGTGATCAGAAAAGATTAACGCTGGTAGAAAGTGCCGATGTGTAAACACTAGTGACGTTGAAGCTCCCTGTTGGAGACTGCCTTTCCTCTCCCTTTTTCGTAATTAACCTTGAGGTGCCATTATAAATAAATTCGAATAATAATATATGATCAACCCATTCCGGAGTGTTCTAAAGCTCATGCTTTCAAATCGAGTAGAAAACAATTTTTTTTTTTTAAATTGGTTTCAATTTTTGGCGCTAGGGTACAGAACACAATAAATTTATTTTCTTAGAGGAATTCAGTATTTTCATGTTTTTTTTAAATGTATGCTTTTTATTTACTCTCACACACTTACACATTTAAAAAGTTGCAAGCTAAAATTACGACGTGATTCATTTTGCGACGTGATTCATTTGCGGTCCTGGGAATACAGTTTGAAGGGCTGTGATGGAGGTATTTGATAAATGAATGAAGAAAATGAATATCGACGGAATTTGGGGAATAAGAATTTAAGGAGGGAGCTGTTGTGTATTCGGAGGTGTCTGGGGAACGTTTTGTGAATCCTAAAGGGTAGGACCCTACCTAGAATACGAGGCGGTAGGACTGAGTGGTTCAGTTCCTACTGGATCAGGACACTTAGAGAAGATGTAAGTCTGCGTGGAAAGACAGGGTTTAGTTTAATAATTGAGTCTGTTGATGCCTAGGACCCCCGACGTAATTTGTAAACAAACTAGGGTTGTTTTACTCATATTGCTGACACGGGGTATCGTGGCATGCGCCCTAGTTCACGTGCACAGCTAAAATAGCCGCATTTTTGAAAAAAATCCCGTATTTCGATACTGAAATATATCGTATGATCAATATCAGTATGCAGTGTATGGAATAAAACACTTCGATCTTTCCGATTATGATAGATTATACGATAGATTATAATAATTGTCACATTTAAATTAACTACCATTTTAGATAAATTTAAATGTCAATCGATTAAAAATTAAATCCATCAACATATACACTTATGGTTGAAATATGACTCCACTTAATTCCTCGTAACGTCAACACCGAGAGAGGAAGTAGGCAATAAAAATAAATTGAAAAAAAATGTAATTGCCTCTAAATTCCTTTACACTCACTCCCTTTACACTTCAAAATTATTGACACTCACGCGATATCAGCAAAAATTAATCAATAAAGGCACAAAGGAACACGGAAACCACAAAACAGCCAGAGGGACTTCTCCTGTCGTTCAAGTGAGGAGAGGGAGATTACAACAGCTTAGATAAATGGAGAGGAGAAGAAAATCCAAAGAGTGTGATTGGCAGGTGAAATTGCTTTTGACATCTACCGCTGCTGCAATGAATATTCATTTAGTGCATTTCTAAGCACAAAATTCCTAAAGTAAGTGATGATTTGGCATGTTTATTGCAGGCAACAGAAGAAAATTGTAGCATTTCAATAAAGCTATAAAGTACTAACACGTAATAATGCGACAGGACATAGGTGAGTGATCGTTGAGAGTAGGTCTGCTAGTTAGTCTGACTACAAACAATATGCTTTATCTAATTATACATAGAATGTGTGAAAGTGGAACACGAAAGAATTGTTTCAGAATTGTGGTTGCCCGATATTGATGATGATGGTGTGATGACTTAAGGAAAAATGAATTGTTTTAAAACAGTAGATAATGTCATTATAAATAAATCAAAGGTAATATAATGACCGTATGAACTGTTTAGAGGTCGCCCAGAGAATTCAACTTTGAATGACTTGAAAATCGCACATACTTTACGCTCTACGACGCCAGTGTTCTATGGAAATATATATGGACTGATGATCTATATTTGTATAAAAAAATTAATACCAGTGTATTTTCTCATATAAAATGGGGTGTTGAAACAAGTTCATATTTTCCGTGGGTCTATTTGTTTATATTTTTCAATAAAGAGAAAAACAAAAAATCTTCCTTTTTGTATGGAAATTACTTTTACCTCATGTGATTCCAAATTTCCCAACACTTGTAATGAGAGGAACTAAAAACTGATTGTCTCAGAAGTTGTATAGTGCACCTAAAATCCTATTTACACGCTTCTTTCTTATGAACAATTCCGGAATTTTTAGGAAAACGTACAAGCACAGTAATGCTTATGTAATCTCACAAGCTACACTCTGCATGCGTATCTCTGGAATCATTTGCCCAAAGGAAGCGCGTAAATCAGGTCTAAACACGTACTTAAACGGGCGTTAGACAAACCTAAATTAAGCACTTTCCCCAGATTCCACTTTTCTTCCTAGAATGTTATACAGTTTTAATTTTATCGCTTTAACGCAGCAACGCTGCTTTAAAATCTATCGTTTTATCGCCGCAACTTGCACGAATTTCCAGTATAACATGATCGAGAAACTTCCAAATGATCGTAAGACACGTTGTAAAGACATGTACATCTTTACCAATTGTTGATGGAGAAACGACGTAAACAAACTGGAGACAAATCGTCGCTTTCTCAGTTATAATCCTTCTTACCTAAATCTAACTTGTGATATAAGAATTTTCAATATAACATTGACAAACATAATCCGATAACAAGTCACATTATCGTCTTAGGGTCTAAACTATGGCGATTAGACTGTGTAACCTAACATAAAATGTGTTTATTATTACATCAAATAAATTTTGTCGCGCAAAA